GTTGGAAACATCGGTATTGGTATCGACTTTGAAAGTCTTCCATGTTACGAATGAATTACTCCAATCTTTCATACATTATCCTGTGGAATCTGTTTGACGTTCGAATCTGATACTTCATTTCTTCTTAGTTTTTCCAATTTCACAGTCCGTACTCCTGTAGGAGTGGATGTATGGGGGTGGGGGACACCGCCCATTTCCAACAGTGGGCGTTAGAGCGCAAAATAGTGGGGGTAGCCGACTCCCAGGGCCCTAGTGTGGCTCAGGANAATCTTTCATACATTATCCTGTGGAATCTGTTTGACGTTCGAATCTGATACTTCATTTCTTCTTAGTTTTTCCAATTTCACAGTCCGTACTCCTGTAGGAGTGGATGTATTGGGGGTGGGGGACACCGCCCATTTCCAACACTGGGCGTTAGAGCGCAAAATAGTGGGGGTAGCCGACTCCCAGGGCCCTAGTGTGGCTCAGGAACGTTTCTTAGCCGAAAATAACTTTTTTTCATTTATACATCATATTTCTTCCCACCTTTTTGCATGAAGAAATCATTTCCCTCATACCGATACTCCCCCTACTTGAGCCTAGGTAAAAACTATATTCCCGTGACTGAAAATCTCTAAACATAAAAGATATGCTACGCCTCCTTCTGCGCTATAGCGCACAATGTTGAAAAAAGAGCGGCGCCCCTTCTCCAAGCATACGTTTGCACTTGTTTCAATTAGATAGGCAATTTTCTGCTCAGGATGTTTCTGTTTTGATAATTCTGTATCTCGCTCACTAAGCCACTCTTCATTGAATATTTTTGGAAACTTCGAGGCACTTTTTTGTTACAATAGTCTTCACTGTTTTAATTCACTAAAATTTGCTTCTTTCTGATTCTTGCGAGCTAAGTCGCCTCGATTTCTTTAGTTCAAATAGAATCTCAAAGACAATTTTTCAAAGATGGGACTCCAGGCTAAGAAATTGTCGACAACACTAGCTGATTTTAAAAAAAGAAAATGCTGTATATCGTTACAATGTTTTCATTCACTTTATAAGGTGACGATTAGAGTAATTTCTTGAAAAAAAGTAGTCAAATGTAGTTCCATGATATTTTTGCATAATTCCGACTACGGACCCATCACAAAGTGCAACTGACGAGCAATACAGTCGACATGGATCATCCCCTAGGACGGATAAGGCGATTCTAGACAGAAGCTGGATGCATAGATCAACAAAGGCTAATTCACAGTGTGCCTCATAGGATTTCGCCACGATTAGCAATTTGAAGCCGCAGGAACGATTTTCACGAAGTCTTTCACGTCACTTCAACGTCACTTCAGTCACGTAGTCACGAAGCCGGCGCAAAAGCTAAGCAGCTTAGTTTTTCGAAAAACCTACTTAGGAGAAAGAGAGGGTTCGAAGGAGACACATTGCAAGCTGCCGCATAAGCCTGGCGAGCACCGGCTCCCTGCTCACTACTTGGTGATTGCGCAGTTAGCGAGTACAGGTTGCGACGAAAGTCCGAGTACACCCTTCAACATATTGCAATTTGATATTTGCTTTTTGCTGAGGGTAAGAAATTCCATGGGCGTACTGAATTTGTAACCACATGTACGAGTCGGCATGGACGAGTCCAGCACGGTGCCTCAATGGTCGAAATATACGAATCCATCACGACGAAGGTCTACATCTCCGGCTCGGGAAACTGCCAGACAGATCGCCAACAAGTTCAAAACATTTGGAAGATCGAGGAACGTCCACGGCCAGGTACACAACTAACCGTGACAAAGAAGCAACTCACGAACGCCTTACACCTTACGCCTTACGCCTTGCAACTCACGAAGTGCATCATCTCGAATCCAAAATCGACAGCGGATTATACTTTACAAACCGTCATCATGGATGGTTAGAATTGAGACCTTCATATTGTGCAAGAAGCTACTCTTTCGTGCAGAAACAAGCAAGCACACCTGATGTAGGGCTGTAATTTTAGCTGTAAGACACCAACAAGAATCCGCTGGGGATTCGCTTAGCCAGAAAGGAAAATCGACACGGAATTCCACTCGAAAACCATTTTTCAATCCAACCTGCTGCCTCCAAAAATATTTCTTAGACATATCAGCAAGACATCGCACAACCTCACGATACCAAAATTGTTCAGCAATGGTGCTGAAACCATCCATCAACTTTCACAGCTGCTGAGATTTGGTTTCCGGACCTTGATCCCGTAGGCTGGGCAGTATGCGGTTATCTGGAGCGGAAATCTTGTGCTTCTCTTCATTCCACTCATTCCAAGGTGGAGTAACTGAAGAACGCTCTCCGAGAGAATCGACGTCGAACAGTTTGTCCATAGATCGACTCGTTTCCGAAGTCAATAAGAACCGTTATCCGGGATGCCGTATTGAGGCATGAAGATACAATGCTACTGCGAATTGCTTGGAGGTTTTTATAGGCTCCCACATTGTTTGTCACACTATTACAAGATAGGGTTCTCACAATCCTACGAACTTCCTACGAATTTCTACGCACCTCTCGGTGGCAACTCCCCGATGGGAAATGCGGGGAATCTTGCAAGGCTCGGCTATTTCAATGTGTGCTCATCGAACCCATCTTTTCAGATATTATTCTTTCTGTACTGTCTGCACAAATGGTTTTTCGGTTCCCTTACTTCTGCTCAAGATTTTCTGAAGAATGAGGTCGTAGTGAAGCGATCGCTCAGCAAATCGGATAGCTCCGGTATGCTATAAGAGACATTTTCACGTGTTTGACCCATGCAAGATGTCTGCGGAGCTATTTGACATCCGATCATATTATAACTTTCTTCTCCTCGTTTCCTCACGCAACTGTGGTCATCATTCCTTTTGAGAGTTTCTCTCTTTTTACGCAAGCTTTTTTTCTTGTTTTCTCAACTTCTCAACAATTTTCAAATGAGAGCTGAGAATGAAACTGTTTGTTGCTGTTCTGAAAATTCCGATCGCTTCGTAACAGCGATATGGGTATCGAGTCCAGCAACCCACTCAGTCCTACAAGAAAGATTCTCATGAGGCCATGAGACGAACATAGTATCGTCTTCGTTTCTTGACGCACCTCTGGACTTAATCCTCTCTAGTGCTTCATTATTTTTATCACAAGCTTTCCCATTTCTCGCAGCAAATTCCACGACAAGCAGATAGAACATAGGATAGAAAGCAGGTTGACACATTCTTTCTGAAATAAAGTGTTTGTTTCCTTTTCGTTTAGTTTTTGGGACTAAGTTTCTGGGAATCTCCCGGGTGTAGTCTGCTAAACACAGTTGCCGTGTTCACTACTTCTAGGGATAAGAGACTTTACGGTTTAATAAACGTTTTTGTTAGGTTTGGTTCTAGAAGCCATGCTTGTGATGAATCTTTCCTTGCATAGTTTTGTTTATAACTGAATATGACTGTCTGTGTAAAATGAGTAAGAATTATTACGGAACTTTTACTTGCTTTAGTATTGATGAGGTTCTCTCTGAACTTGCTGGAATACAATAGAAGTTTGATCCACTACGCGTTCTCTTCAGGGGCTGATAAGCTTCAAACTAATTTTTACACGGAGCTGGTTATTAAGCCGGATTCAACTAACCAAGGAGGGGTAGTCTACTTACCGTGGGACTTTGAATGGAGATCAAGATAAATCGATAGAGTTTTGAATGCTGTTTACGAAAATGGAAATTAAAACTGCAAAATGGTTTTCCTTAAAAAGTTATGGGGGCTTGAAATTTGCTTGACAGTAGTACAATTGGATATGCGAACTCGTCG